TTGGTGTTATTGAAGTTGAATTTCGCGCACAAGAAAATACAATTCGCGCATATGAATGTGCAAACGCGTTATTGATTGTCCATTGATGCCTATGAATGTACACGCATATTCAGTTATCGTTATTGAAAGTTGATCCGCGCTAATGATGTTACTTGTGGTGTTGATGAAAGTACATTACACGTTATTGATACAACTATTGGCACAMATGAATGTACATTTTCTGTTAATGAACGGCAAAAGGTGTTGTAAATCAGATACAGAATCCTGTTCATTTGCATAAACTTTAAGATGAATTTTCTTGGCCAGATTCACTTTTATCTTGAAAATTTTAGCGAAACACAAAGGAACTAGCCTAGACGTTAGGTTACGGCTACGGCTCCAGTTTGTATATTGGATACAACACGGCCACTAATACTGTTGATAACAATGCTGCGTTACTTTTATCATAATTCATGCTAGTGACCCTGGAGGGTCACAGTATTTTTATCTAGATCCCTCACCGAATACAATGGTGGCTTACTTTACCATAATTTATGCTATGGACCATGGGGGTCACAGTATTTCTTATCTATATATCTCTCACCGATAACAATGATGCCTTACTTTACTATAATGGTGTTGTCTAACACATTAAACAGTTTCGAATACACAAAGTTTTAGAAGATTACAGCTGACAGTTTTTTTTGTTTTCGAGTGTTTGGAAGGCTCGTGAGTGGAGTTGTGAGAGTTATTCATCAAGCGTGCAGACAAACAAACAAATAAAAGAAAAGCAAAGCAAACAAAAAGAAGTAAACAAAATAAAAAAGTTCATCCTATCGATTCTTCAAATGCTTGCTTTTTTTATCTGTTATCCAGATTAGCCTGAGCAGCATACAACATTTGACGCAATGCATACAATAACAGGACATCTATTTCATCCTCCAGCTCAGTTTGGTCTTTGTAGTTAATGACCGGAAAGATCTGGGCCCCCGGAATGCCATTGAGCTTGCTGCTGACCAATTTCATTGTATCCCGTATAGTGATACTTCTGTACACATTTCTCACTTCTTTTGCAACTTCCTCGCACTTTTCATCCACGTGTGTGAGAATAATAAACATTGGCACTCCTGAAAACAAATAAACAAGGAAATATATCAAAACTTTTTAATAATATATCGGAGGGGAGGGGGAGGGGAGTGGTGCTCTCCTGATTAGTTGATTAGCTGCCAATTTTCTCTTATTATGTGCAATTATTAAGCACATTTGATAATCTTAATAATTTTCACATATTTATCATAAATCATATAGTAGTAAACGAGCATAATACCAGATATACTACAAAATCCAGTTTTTATGTTCCAAAAATGAGAACTAATTGGAAAATTTACATTTAAATACTCAGCAACCAGAATGTGGAAACAAATTCCTGAAAAACCTAAGGCCCAATCATTAAAATTGTTTAAAAACAACTACAAAGAACATCTATTATCTATACAATAGTATACGTCTTTTTTTAGTTTCCATTATATTGTATTTAGTTTCCATTATCTTGTAAATATAGCTTTTTTTCCCTGCCACCAGTGTTTTTATTTGTTGTGTGTCTCTTTTGAATAATTGTATTTTTTTCTCTTTTTTTCTTTTTTTTTTTTTTTTTAGACGCTACATTATTTGATTATCTTGACTATGGAGGGTGATTAACTAGAAAGCATCAGCTGCTTTAATCATCTTACACTCTACATACTTAACACATACTACTACCATTACTTACTATTACTTACCATTTGTAGTATAACTTATTAATAGATTTAATTTATATCATTTACTAAATTGTAACAATTAAGTAACATTATTATACATTTTACTAAGTATCTCAAATTTGATTGGTTGAGAGCCCTCAGCCAATCCCTGATAGAAAAACCTACAGATAATACATTTATCATGTCAAGTTCATTCAAGGTCATGCTGTAGTAGCTTTGTTTTTATTCATATTCATATTACAAAAACAATTATTAAAGGAATCCTTGACTTATTTTCCTATATTCTATGAAGAATTCTTGAATATTTATAAATTAAGAATTTTGCGTTTTTCACGCGACATCATCGCGATCATAATTCTCATCTCTATAATTTAATGTTCATGTTAATTTTTTTCCAGTATACAAAATGTAATATATATATTTAGGCACTGCCTAAAAGCGCAGCTCCCGATACGGAAGTCACAGGGAGCACAATTTGAATGAAACTGAAAGGTAAAAATAAGATCGGGGAAAAAATCTTAATTAAATCTTAAGATAATTTCTCCCATAATAAAAACCATGCAGTGAAATCGAATCGAAATGCACTACATTGTTTGCTTTTTGTTTTGTTTTTTTTGTTTTTTGTTTTTTTGTTTTTTTGTTTTTTGTTTTTTTGTTTTTTGTTTTGTTGTTGTTTTTTGTTTTTTTGCGCGAGCCCACGCTTTAGGAGCAGTATTCTGTAAGCATAGAGAATACCTTGGCAGGGCAACTTCACCAAATCTCATAATATTCCATGCACAAATAGGCATTGAGGTACTATTCCAAAAAATGCTCATAGGTTTTTGAATCTCAACATTCCTGATTTTTTTAGGGCCATCAACTCTTGAGGTGGTTCATGACCCAAAATTCAAAATCAATTTAATGGATAAAATCAGGTCACCAAAACAACATTTTTAGTTTGGTATTCCGACTTTTTTGGGTTTTTCATTGAAATACATCTTTGCTTGAACGCAAAACAGCATTTTAGCAGAAATTAATAGCATTTTCTAATTTTGGGCTTCCTGTGTTAGGAGCCATGTTTTGCTCGGTTATTAAAAGCTGAAATTGTTCAAATTCAAAGCGCTCTAGCTCCCTGGCCATACATCCAAATGAAATGATTTTAAGTTTGCAAACAAAGCAAGTACTCGATTTCCAAAATCCAGAAGGACAGCTCTGGTTTTGCCTAAAAAATCCCATTCTGAATACACCATGATTGCGTGAAAATACAAAAACATACCCRCATTCGATATCAAAAGTTATTCTTAGTTTACAAAATAGCAAAGCAAAACCAGCTGAAAAATGACAATAAATATCTATATTTTCAATTTGTGTACATAAATTTCACAAATTTTGCAATTTGAGCCCATTTATAAGCACAATGTTGCAACTTTCTAGAATTTAGATCCAACAATTTCTTCTCACCTTCAGTCCCGCTTTTGTATACAACTAGAATATTTTTCAGCATTAAATAGTACTCAGTTKTCYATCTTCAGATTAGTTCTGGGAAATTATCGATCAAGAAATATTTAACTGGGCAGTAAACAGAGACAATCGAACGATAATTTCACGATTGGGCACTAAGCGATGGGAAAGCTTATACCATTATTGTCACGGCATTCCAACTG